CCAGACAATATTCTGGAGGCCTCCCCCCTTTCAATATGAAAAATACAGAGGACCTTCTCGTTGCTGTTTCAAATTCTAAGTCTCTCTTTATTTTCTATCTCTCCGCCTTTTCTCTATCTTTTTGTCATTCTTTTTTGTATCTTCCCTGTTTTCTGACTAAAGAAATGTCTTTTTATAGAGGAAGGCCAAGGGAAGTTATCACCATGTGTTGAAAAAGGATTGGTGGGGGAGTTATGATAACTTCTTTATCAAGATTATTGCATTCGTTTATCATAATAAAAAATTTCTTTACTTTTCATTTCTCATGTGTCTATCTTCCTATCTTTCATATTTCTAAAATAAGTGTAATGGAGAGCCCATATCCCTTCAAGTTGAAATAAGGTTCATATGAGGGTCGAGTTAGATTTTATAGCTAAGGCTTATGATCACATGAGAACTTCTGAAATTGACATGTATCCAAGTTTGAGAATTTGATCAATATGAAGTGGTGAGACATGTGTTCTTTTGTGTTAGATTAGTAAAGGGTTCACATACTCTCAAATTTATATGAGGTGCTCTCATTCTCAACTTGATTTTCATTTATATAAGGTACTATCCCTCACATTAATTTTTGATTTATATGAGGTACTATCCCTCACGTTAAGTTTTATTGATAAAGTTGTTGAACTCATCAAATTTGACAACTATAAGGGAAAGGCGTGCCTCTCTGAATAAATTAATATGAGGGGCTTACCTTCCTTGGTTTAGACTTATATGAAGTATTATCCCTCACATTAGTTTAATTTTTTTTACATGAGGTACTATCATTCTCACAATAAGTTTTATTTATAGGGATTGTAGATACATAATTTATTTTTGTGTGTCTACAAATTCCACCCCCCCCCCTAGCTTACGTGCTCGGTTTTTTTAACCTAGTGCGTGAGACCACGTTTTTTACTATTGTGCTATGAAAATTTTCTTCTTCTTCCTTTTTTTATTAAAAGGCTTAGGATTAGCTTACTTAATTCAAATATGAGGAGTCCTTATCTAATTAAACTTACTAAATTAGTAGAAGATAGAATCTAATTTAAAAGGGATATCAAAAAATTTTAAGATAGAATCCCAACAGAATTTGAAAAGAAAATCTAATCCTATTCCAATTAAACTTCACATAGCTATATATATTTACACCCCTGTAATTGGTGTCATGTTAAACCAAAGGAAGTATGTAGATAAATAATTCTTTTCTTTTCTTTTCATTTTTTAAAAAGAAAAAGAAGCGTAATTATTTATAAACAAAGAATAGTAATTAGATTTTACCAGATTCTAACTTCTTTTGTTCCCTTTCCTTCTCTCTTTTTTCTCTCTCCCCTCGGTTTGCAGCCTTTGGAATTTGGCATAGAACTCTGCTTCCTCTCTCCAAAGCCAACAACAACATTCTCATCTCTTTAATCGAGGTATTTTTTCTTTCTTTTATTTCTATGCGGCCTGCATTCTTCAAATCTCGAGTTCCGATGGGCTTTCAAGAGGATTCTTTGTTGTTTCTTACTTAAAGTTTGGATATTTGAGGGCTAATTGATTAAGTTACTCCAATTCCTCACTTAAAGATTAGATTAGATTTTTCTGCATGCATTTTTTTCAATCGGTGGATTAGTGTCTTTTAGTTTTGTTATTCGCCTTATGGTTTTGATCTCGGCTTCTTTTATTGCAATTTGGATCTCCTATCTTTTTATGGTGGAATCCTGTTGTAATATCTTGAAATCTCTAGATTTCATTTAGCTTCGCTTTTAGGTAGGTTGAATTTCTTCATTAGTTGCATCTGTTGGATATCATGTCTCCAATATATAGTTTTGATGATAACAATTTATATACTATGTGTATTATATATGCACTAACATATCAATGCAGATATCAGTATCAAATATGCTCAAATTATGTGAACAAAGCGCAGGATGAGTTTAAGGCAATATGAGTAAAGAAGAAGATATGTGTAAATTTCAAAATATAATTTTTACATTTTCTTTGTTTGGATCTTATGTACAAGCCTTGATCACTCATAACACATACACACACATAGTATTAGAACACACTATACATACTTAGTGTGTGGTTAACTATACAAATCCCCTATGTTAGCCATTAGAGTTTATAGATAAAGAATGAGTCTTAACATACTTCATATATTTCATATTTACCCTTAGTAGTCGACCAATAACAATAGTAGTCGACTACTCAAGCCTTGGTAAAAATTCCGGATTCTGTGATTTTATAGTGTAGTCGACTAATACACATTATAGTCGACTAATTAAGCCTTAGACAAAATTCCAGAATCTGTGATTTTACAGTGTAGTCGACTAATACACATTGTAGTCGACTAATTAAGCCTTAGACAGAATTCTAGATTTTGTGATTATATAGTGTAGTCGACTAATACACATTGTAGTTGACTATTAAAGACTTACACAGAATTCTAGAATCTGTGAAATTACAGTGTAGTTGACCATTGATAAAAGTAGTCGACTACTAATCATTTTTTTGACTTCACAGTCTGTTAGATTTAATGTAGTCAACTACTAATTCTTATAGCCGACCAAATACAGTTTTCCAGTTTTTCAGAATTTGAATTAGTGACTATTTTATAGCCATATTTGGACGTTAATTGAGTTAAATTTATGTCTTTGCAAGGCTATAAATAGGTATTAAAGTTCAAAATTTGCCACCAATGTTCATACCCATAATATTCAATTTTTATGCAAATTCACTCTCTTGTTTTCAGAATTTCAATCTAAGTTTCCTTAAAAGAGAGTTTCTAAAATAGCCATTGATTTTCATTAAAAGAGAGTTTCTAAAATAGCCATAAACTGGAGTTCTTAACAAATCTCAAATACAACAAGTCTGAGTAAAGGAAATAAGGCACACAGCCTTTACAACATCTAGAATAAAGTCCTCAAATGTCTAAACAAAGTCTACAGTGGAGCTCCATAAATAAAATATAACTAAATAGACGACTGAAGCTAAAGTGCGTCACCATCAACCTGCGACTCTCCGGGCTTCTGGCTCGTTACCTGAAAGGGGGAGGGACAACGAGCGTCAAAGCGCTAGCGAGCAACATCACAACCAACCCCAAGGGAGAGGGCTCGTTGTATAAAAAATACAGTTAATACATAATAATATAAAATCATTTGTCCTAACAACAATGGGTTTTGGTATTTAGGAAATTACAACACGAGAGTAGGTACATCGAGCGAAATAATCCAAACAAGGAAACCCTCATGTATATACCTTGTGTCTCAAATTGTAAATCCCTAAATACTAAACCTGAGGTCTAATACAAGAAACAATAAATAAAACAAATACAAACCCGTCTCTGCCGATAAATGAAATCATGACAAGGCCACCATAAGTGTCATGTCAAACTCACATGAGTGTCATGTCCGAAAACGATTAAGTGTCCAAAACATAGACTATATAAATAAAACATCCAACACATAGACTGCATGAAGTGAAACGTCCAACTCATGGACTGCAAGTAATGAGTGTCCAACACATGGACTGAATATAACCAATGTCCAATGCATGGACTAAATCTAACCAATGTCCAACGCATGGACTAAATATAATCAATGTCCAACGCATGGACTAAATATAATCAATGTCCAACACATGGACTAAATATAATCAATGTCCAACGCATGGACCGGATGGTAATGCATATCCAACACGAGGATTAAATAGCAATGTGTGTCCAACACGAGGACTAAGTAAAGTGAATGTCCAACACGAGGACTATTAGTAATGCATGTCCAACACGACAGAATCCCAGTCTGGGTTTCTGTCAGCTTCGAAACTCATATAAACTTGATAAATTCTTTGCTAAAGTAAATCTAACCATTCTAATATATCATGCAATATAAAACAGAGAATTTAAACCTTTTAAATTTCATCATCAAGATCCCATATATATGAATATGAATTAAAAGTTTCTAAAAACAGTAAAAACAGGATTTAACCTTTGCTAAAACATTTTCAGATCTAGATCTAAATAATACAAATTCGTTGGTGAGCCTTTAAAGTCTGAAATATATGATTCTCTCATCTTATGCCATAAAGATCTACTTTATCTACATGAAAATATGATTTTGGCCCAATAAAACCGAATTTAAAACCCAAATAAAACATGAAACATAAAAAGGGAGAAGTTGGGCGAGATGTTACTCGCCTCTGAGCTCCTATTCTGTAGGAGAACAATCCCCTTTGTTGAAACACCGAGAAAATCCGCTGAAAATCCTTCGAAGCTCCTCCCAAATCACCAAAAATGCAAACTAGGGTTTGAGGAAGGGAGAGGAGGGGGCTGAGGCTATTAGGGTTCAATAGAGGGTTCTGAGGGCTTCAAAACGAGTATAAATACCTAGGGTAACAATGGGGTTTGGAAAAAAAAAAACCCGACCCGAACCAAAACTGACAGAACCAGGCTCGCTGCGCGGTCGACCGCAGCGACCACGGCGGTCGACTGCGCAGGTTTCTGGGTCATTCCCAGATTAGGGTTTGGTGAAAAGGCTGTAACTTTCTCATATGATCTCGGAATGAGGTGATCTAAGATTCGTTGGAAAGCTCTTGAAGAGACCTACAACTTTGATCTTATACAATTTTCCAGATTCTAAATAAATCAGTATGAAAAACATAAAAAACTCTCAACTGGTCAAAATTTTCAGATTCTCACTATATGCCTTTGTGCATGTTTTGTGTATTTACACTCGTATATTCACAAATATACATTGAATTGATCTCAAATCAATTCCTATCATACTCAAACATCAAAATACATTATTTTCACCATATAACATATTTAATTATTTATCACACTATATTCAAATTTTCAGGGTTTTACACTTCAAACTTTGATGGTCTGTGAAAAGGTCGAACTGAACTCCATATAAATAGTGTCTCCACGCCTTCAGCGCGAATACAACGGTTGCTAACTCTAAATCATGAGTGGGGTAGTTCTGCTCATAAACTCTCAACTACCGTGAGATGTATGCTACTACCCTCTGAGACTGCATCAAAACACCTCCCAAACCTGCTAACGACACGTCCATGTACATAACAAATGTCCTATCACTGCTTGGAATAGTGAGAACTGACACCGTAGTCAACTTAGTCTTCAAGGTATCAAAGGCCTTATGGCACTCCACGCTCCAAGTAAAATGTACACCTTTCTTTGTGAGGCATGTAAGTGGCATCACAATCTTCGAGAAGTCCTGAATGAACTTCCTGTAATATCCGACCAATCCCAAAAAGCTACGATTCTCAGTTACCGTCGTGGGCGGTTCCCAATCAAGCGCTGCTGAAACCTTAGCTGGTTCTACCGCTATGCCTTCTCTGCTGACAATATGGTCAAGAAACCTGACCTCAGAAATCCAAAACTCACACTTGCTGAACTTAGCATATAGCTGATATTTATGCAAGGTCTGCAAAGCCAAATGTAGATGCTGCTCATGCTTCGACTCCGATCTCAAATAGATAAGAATATCATCAATAAACATAATCACGAACTGGTCCAAAAATGGACGAAAGACCCGGTTAATCAAATCCATGAATACCGTGGGTGCATTGGTCAACCCAAATGGCATAACCAAAAACTCAAAGGACCCATATCGAGTCAGAAAGGCGGTCTTGGGAATATCCATCTCCCAGACCCACAACTGATGATAACCAGAACGAAGATCAATCTTTGAGAAATACTACGCTCCCTGTAGCTGATCGAACAAGTCATCAATCTGAGGCAAAGGATATCTATTCTGGATAGTGACCTTGTTCAACTCACGGTAGTCGATACACAATCGCATACTACTATCCTTCTTCTTCACGAAGAGGACCGGTGCTCCCTACGGAGAATGACTCCGATGATAAAGCCCTAAGCTAACAACTCATCTAACTAGGTCTATAGCTCCCTCATCTCAGCAGGTACCATGCGATAGGGTGCTCGGGATATCGGGGCTATGCCCGGCTATAACTCAATACAGAACTCAACCTCTCTCATAGGAGGTAACTCAGGTATGTCCTGAAAGTCATCCTGAAAATCTAAGACAACTCTAGTCTCGCATATATCCACACTCTGATCCCGAAGCATTACCTCCTCGATGTACGCCAATAATAACTCCGCAAACTGGTTCCCTTGAGAGGTTGCCACAACTAACTCGGACCCATCGGACGCTCGCAACTTGATTGTTTTTGCAAAACAATCGATACTGACGTAGTAGGAAGATAGCCAATCTATACTAAGAATAACATCAAACTCTGACATGCTCAACACTATCGGGTCGACAACAAACCCAGACTCGTCTAAACTGATGATACACCTCCTACAAATGCTCTCCAAGAGCGACATCTCACCTAGAGGGGTGGAAACTGATAAAGGAATATCTAGAGGCTGAGCTACGAGCCGAAGTCTACTCATAAAAGCATAAGATATGAAAGAGTGAGAAGCTCCCAAATCAAAAAGAATACGGGCTGGAAAGGAGTTTACGGAGAACATACCCTCCACTACGGCCCCGCTCACCCCATGATCACGAGGGACTACTGCATAGACTCTACCGGTGGCCTGAACCTGCTCCACGGCTGGAGGTGGAGCATATGGAACTACCTGTCCTTGAGGGATCTCCTGAACTGCACGAACCTACCCCTCAATCTTCGGTACCACTGGCGGTGCCTCTAGTCTCGCCTACTGGCCCTGACCTTGGCCCTAAAATCTGTTCTGCTGCTGATTCTGCCCTCTCCCTTGCTGGGCTCCTGCTAGCGCACTGAGCCATTCTGATGCTCTATGCCCAATCTTACGATAGTTATAACATGCAACCTGAAACTTACGCTGCTGAGGCGCTCTCTGATCATGCTAAGGTTCTCTCCTATGAGGGCCTAACTGCTACTGCTGCTGGGGTCCTAAGAAAGGCCTCTTATTCTTGCCCTTTTCCTTGCTGTTTCCCTCCTTGTCCTTCTGGAACATGGCTGACTCATTCTCCTGAGAGATGGCAGCATCCGCTACCTCTCGAACTGAATAAAACCTCCTAGAAACGAGGTATCGATGAAGGCCGGGGCGAAGTCCTGCTAGAAACATCTGGGCCTGATGCTCTCCGGTCTGCCACATGCCCGTGAAATGAAGTAGACTCATAAATCTGCTCTCAAAATCCGCTACTGACATGTCTCCTTGAGTCAATCTGGATAACTCAAGCTCTTTCCCGACCCGTGCCGCGAAAAAGATAAACTGCTCATCAAAAAAATAAGTGAAGTCCTCCCAGATGAGTGTCATCCTCTGATCTGGAGTGAACTACAACCGATACCATCTCTCTGCATCTCTCTTGAGACTATAAGATGTCAGCCTATGCTTCTGAACCGATGTCACATTCAGTATCTCAAGAATGTTTCTCACATCCTCCTTCCACTTATGCGCTGCCAGTGAATCTGATGATCCCTGAAACTCTGGTGCTCTCATCTTCTGGTATCTCTCCACCAGATGGAGCCAAGTCTCCTACTCTGCCGCTCTACTCGTAACTGCATGCGGGGTAGGTGCTGGCGTGTTCCCCTGAAAACCCTCCGCAACTGGAAAAGCTGGTACAACTGGTGGTGGAACTACTGGTGGTGGTAGTAGGGTGATGTGACTCATCACAAGCTCCTCAAGAGCTGCCATCCTAGTGGCTATAGGAGCCATCAGATCTATCAAGTATTGGGGAGCCTGCTACGGCTCGGATGGAGCCTGCTGTGGCTCTAGTGGAGCCTGCTATGGCTCTACCTGACTAGCTCTCCGAGTACTAGGTCTACCGCGTCCTGCCATCTGAGCACATAAAAGAAGGTTTATGAGTCCTCATACAAAACACATATGGATCTCATATAAATAGAGAGTTCATATCATATATCATTCACGCAAATACTTTTAATATCACAAAAAAAAATATTCATAATTTTTTAATACGTGTATATAACATCCTCACTCGTACTAGAAATTTATAGCGGACTCTATACATGAATCTTAAGAAATTCTATTCTAACTCCACGACTCGACACAGGATGATCCTAAGGATACTAAAACTAGAGCTCTGATACTAACTGTGATGCCCCTGGTTTCAACAAGGCTCCAGTCCAAGGTGAAACCAAGAATGTCAAACCTGTCATGCTCTACACTATATAATAACATATTTCACCATCACAATTACTATCTATCTAGTGGAATCAATAACAGATGTAGGTACAAAACAGACAAGAGAGAATATACAAAAGAAATACTAAACAAATAGATATTCTGAAGAAAAATCATCACCACTGATAAAATGGATAAATCTCTGAGAACAAAATATCTGAACTGATACAATTGTCTCACAATAAGAATTCAAATGAAATGACATTAAGGCACTCTACCTTTACAAAGCTAGAAATAACATCTCAATGTTCATAAACAAAATCATCGTGGAGCCCTAACAATAAACTGCTGATAAAATATCTATAAATATTAACTAGAGAAAATCCATCAAGCTACGGCTCTCCGTGCACCTGGCCCGTTACCTGAAAGTAGGGGAAACAACGAGCATCAAAGCTCTATAGCGAGTAACATCTCAACTAACCCCAAGGGGAAGGGATGGTTAGATAAAAAGAATAATTGATAATACATATAGATAGTCAAAAACATCTGATCTGAAATAAAATGGAAGTTTGATATTTAGGAATTTACAACATGTGCGTGGATATCTCAACCATTCCATAAGCTCATATTGTAAATAGCTAACTATCAAATCCAACTACAACTTGGAGCAATACCTCCATCTCAAACTATATCAAAAATGTCCTGTCAGATTTCAGAATACTTATTCAACTCATGAACTTCATCTACTATATGTTAGATCTGACAAAATCCACTAAATGTCCAACACATGGACTGCATGTAACAAATGTCCAACACATGGAGTGAAATAGGAAAAAGCCCAACACATGGACTATATATGAGGTAGGTCCAACACATGGGCCGCAAAGCTACGTGTCCAACACATGGACTGAAATAAGCAAATGTACCACACATGGACTATATGATCAAGGTCCAATACATGGGTCGCAATAGATAGGTGTCCAACACATGGACTGCAATAGCTACAACTAAAAACATATATATACTATTCACTGTCATGTCTCGGTGAATAAAACAAGTCTCTAGTCTGTAGTCAACTCATGTACAGAATTCTCAGTGTTTAACAACCCCAAATAACCCAGAAATCTTGCCAGCCACACGACGTATGCACAACTGAACAGTGCAGAAAACTGACTCGTGGTCGCCCGCCGCGCCCAGCGCGGTCGACCGCACAAGGAGCAGAAACTCACTATGCTTCTGTGCTTCCCAGCGGTCAACCGGCCATGCCACACACGATCGACCGCGATCGACGGTCTACTGCCGTGCCCAGTACGGTCGACCATGATGAGAAACATAAAACCAAAATTGACCTGTGTACAATACGCGGTCGACTACCACACCCACCGCGGTCGACCGCGTCGGTAGCAGAAAAACCCTATTCTCAGTCTGTTTACATGATTTGATCTCGGGACTTTCTGTGCTCTGGTGCTGATATATATATATATATATATTATGTATATATATATATATTAATATATAGTATATATACAGCGTAGTATATATATACAGTTATAATATATATTATATTCATATTATAATATATATATACTATATATATATATATATATATATATATATATATAATATATATTATATATATATATATATATATATATATATATATATATATATATATATATATATATAAATATATATATATATATATATATATATAACTATATATATACAAGGAAACTAATATAATGTGTGTGTATATATGATTGAGCTTAAAGTACTAACACACATAATATAAACCTAAACTAATGTTACCCAAGCTTGATCTTGATCTTCAATAAGCTTAACTTAGTACACATTGCGGATGAAGCTAGAACTTGGATCTTCAACTTGAATTGCATAGGCTTCACCCACTATTCCGCCAACCTCCATTTGATATGATCGTTATGGCGCAATCCATCTATCCTCCAACTTATTGTTTGTCTATAATAAATAACAAAACACAAACACTAGACAAACAATATTAGATGTAAATTATTTGTTAAATCATCATCAAAACAAGAAGGCCAACAATTATGAGTTGGGTGATTTTCTTTTATTATTGTGCCAACTACTCGAGGGTAGTTCTAGATGTGACATCAGTTCTTTATATTTGAGGTTTGGAGTATTTTCTATTGAGTGTTGTTTTTATTCATAGAGTTGGAATTGGTATTTAGGGACTCGCAATTTGAGACAAATGGTATATACATGAGGGTTTCATTATTTGGATTATTTCACTCGACGTTCCAGTCTAGTGTTATGTGTGTTGGCCTTCTTGTTTTGATGATGTTTTAATAAACAATTTATAACTAATTTTGTTTGTCTAGTGTTTGTGTTATCTTATTTATTGTAGACAAACAATGAGTCGGAAGTTGGATGGAACTGCATCATAACGATCATATCAAATGGAGGTTAGCAGAAATAGTCGGTATGAAGCCATTTTCACTTCAATTCATATTCAAGATCAAGCTTCATCCACATCCAAGACAAGCTCATTGAAGATCAATCAAGGTTGAGTAAGTTAGTTTAGGGTTTATACTATGTGTGTAGATACTTTAAGCTCAATCATATATACACATACACATTTTGGTTTTATAGTTTTCAAGTTTATATAAATATAAAATAAATATACTTATTTATATACATACATACATGTTTTATATTTATCATTTTGATTTTGGTAAACAATGTGTTTAGCCACATAAACATGAAAACTTAACAACACGTATATGAATATATTTTCCATGTTTTGAATGGTTTACAAAATAAATGATATCTCACAAATGGAAAATTCAATTTGAGAAATTGTTTTTCTAAAATGTTATATTACATGTTTAAAAATGTTTTCCAAAATTTTATCATTTTTGGAGTTGATTTATTATGATAAATTGATTTTATAAAATCGGGTATTTTAGCAGTTTTCTGAATCTGTAATATCTGTGTTCAAACAATTATTTATATCAACTAGGAAGTTATATTTTATAAATTCTTTCTCTAATATGTTCATATACATGTCTAAAAATGTATCTCAAAATTTTATTATTTTTGGAGTTGATTTACTATTTTTAATTGATTTTATAAAGCTAGCTACGTAAAAATTCTAGAATTTGCCAAAACTATCAACGGTCGACTTCATCAGTCGACTGATGACATGTTTGCCTATAACAGCTAGTAATGGCTAGTTTTTATTTTTGTGAGTTTTGAGGGTTTTTAGCTGGTTTATGAGGCTATAAAAAGCTCTCAACTTTCATTATTTCTCATTGATGTTTATGAGAGTTTCAAAACAAGTTTGCAAGTGTTTAAGTTTGGTTTTAAGTTTATTTTCAAGAGGGTTTATGTGAAGAAGGTTTCACAAGAGGAGATCATTTTCGTTTGGGCCTTCAATCTTCTTATGTGAAGAAGGTTTCACAAGAGGAGATCATTTTCGTTTGGGCCTTCAATCTTCCAATCTCTCCCTCTTGTTCATTAGAGAATTTCACAAGAGGAGATCATTTTCGTTTGGGCCTTCAATCTTCCAATCTCTCCCTCTTGTTCATTAGAGAAGTTTTTTAAACTTAATTTCTAGCTTCATTTATATTTATTGTTGATTATAATTTCTATAAGCTAGATTTTCGTATTGAGTTTAGTTTTGATTATTTCTCTTTGTTT